ATAGACTAATATTTACAAGATCCTTAGACGCGAAAATGACAAAAGCAGTACGCGCCAGTAAAAAAAATATGTAAAGATTATTTTGTTCAATTATGAATTTAGAGCAAAGCTAAGTGTACATCGCAGAATTAGTTGTTCTGAGGACACAGATCCGAGGTCATGGCATATGCGCGAGATTTCAAAGTCAGCATCAAGGATGGAATACAGATTTACCGAGTATTTTCTATGGGTTCCGCCAGTAGATGAATCCGATCCTCAACTGACGATTAATTTCCTTTAAAGTACTATCAATTTATTACATAAAATTACTCCAAAAAGGAGTAGTTAGACGATCGATTCACAAAATCTGGTCAGTTTTAGAATACTGGAAATAGTGACTGGTAGATGAAAAGAGCAGCTTGTTAAGGGAGCCTCCATACAGTAAGATATGATGAGACGAAGGGAGACTATATAAATTATTTTTTTAAATAGTGAATTATTGAGTAAATTAAATAAGAGTCACCTGTTGAATGTAAGAGAAATTCAGAAGCATGTATTCATTGGATAAAAGTATTATAGGCTAAATTCGTCCCGTAAAAGAGGGTTTTTTTCAATAGTATTAATGTTGAGGAAATTCATCGAAACCCAGTTACTCTTAGTATAAATGTATCCGCTTTTGACGCTTAGCACATTTGTCATTTCCGCGCAAGGCTCAAAGTCATTTAAAGTGCCCTTCGGCATTAACGAATGAGCTAGAATGATTCCATAGAAGCACAATCACCTATAGTCCTAGGTGTACAAAACCACATCATTGAGTTTTACACAGAAAAGCAACGAACTTAGAAACATAGGGATCGATCAAAGTCATTGTGTAGAAGGATATGCAAAGAAGCTGAGACTCGAGATATGTTTGCACTGATATAAAATGTATGTGAGTATAATAAAGCAAAATTTGATAGTTAAATGAAAGAAAATGAACAACGTACTTGGAAGTCTCCGAAGCTAACGATGACGGAAACTGAGTGGGCACTTTTTCGGGTGTTCTGGGAGCAGAACTAACTTTTAGCGAATACTCTTCAGCTTCGCTTAGAAGCTGGGAGGCGGAGGAGGAAGAATAGTATTCCAGCGAAGCAACAGCCTCGGCTTTGGCTGCAGTATGTGGCTGAAGAAAAGGCGTAATTGCAGCGGGAATGTACTCAGATTGAATAAAAGGCAGTGGAAATTCATCACTGGCGCGTCGATGAGGCAAGAGTGACCCTATCTGGTACTTAAGAGCGGCAGCAGGGCTGACGTGTCGACCAGAAGAGTTGCATGCACTCTGATATAAGATTTTGCAGTACAGATATAGGTTAAACAAAGATAGACAAATTCAAGAGAAAAGCAAGCAAAATTACCATTTTTGTCTTTGCACCTACAGGCGAAAAGAAATTACTACTAGACATCATGTCAACGGTTATCGTAATTTCTGCATATGTATGACTAGCATAAAGAATAGTACTAATAATACTAAAATTTAAATTGAATAGAATTTGTGAGATATTACATTCGGTAGCTAAATTAATGAAAATCAAGAATAGCCAAAAATTTAGCCCATGAGTTATCTCTGGGCCTATTTGTTAGACATCATTTCCGATCGTATTTCTAATTGAAATTCGAAATTTCAATTATAACTATCAATTTGTGCCATTATATAACAGTGTGATCAAGCTGTTCATGTGATCAGATCAACCACAGCTTCTCAACCCAAAGTAAAAGTGCATAGCGGTTAAGCTGTTCATAGATTATTCTTATATATAGAGAAAAAGTGGAGAAGTATATGATTGAGCCTAAGAGGTTACCGTACATTTGTTTCGATACAAGTAGTTTTCGAGACTAGCAGCAGTTATTGAAGTCAAACTTAGTCAGGTTATGTCACTTAAGGTGATTTAAGGAGTGATAGTTGAGGTCTACCACAATAGAATGAGAAGGCCTCACGGTATCAATGAATTTAACTTAACCAGATTCAGACTGCAATTTTGACCTCGTTATCGCAACTTAGTCATGCAGTCAGATGAACGCATCTTGTCTGTACATTCCCAGACATGTTGCCGGCATCGTCAGTGAAGCTTGCCAATCTTAGCACCAAGCCACAACTCGTCAAATAGAAAGATAAACGGTTAGTTATCAATCTTCCTTCTATTCTGGTACATTAATCTATCCAATATTCTCATACATCACCCCCTTGAAATCATACTTTTTTACTTGGTATATCCAACTTTTGTAGAGGTATGCCATTTTTGGCGAGTTTGATGGGACAACTGCCTGTTTACCTTGCCCCCCACCTCTCCGTTTCGATTTGCCGGAATTGCAGATCCGATTTGGATTCCCTATCTGAATCTCTCTAATGACTCTGGCGATCCACTTTTTGCTTTTTTTAGTTAACTGATCCGACTCGGTTCCATTGATAATATACTTTTTACTCGATACAAGCCTTTAATAGTGCGTATACTGTAGCCTCACCGAACAGAGCGCCTAGGCCCTGATTCTCATGCTTAAATATATCAGGCATTGTCTCCACAGCTCTCTATGACCTAACCCATATGTCCTAAGCTAATTGTACAATTCTATCTCTCGCCTTCTTCTGCATCTCAAGGCCGTAGTTTGGCTCAAATCTACTAGACATAATGTCAAATTCCTATGATTGTTGTGACTATCTGTCCACCTATAGCTTCTGTTTCAGACAGGAGACTGTGACCACAAAAAAGGTCAAACCATCTTGATCTTCATACCTTCGATTAAAAAAATTTAGTTTCCCCAACCAGACTATATTCCCTAAAAACGTGTTCTTCTGATTTTCGAATATTCCTAACCTAATTCTTCACTGCGATCCAAAAGAGAGACCACATCTTAGTCCTCATATATCGTTCCATAAATCATCTTCAGCGTATATTTGCCATTATACTCGACGATGTTACCTATATGCGATATAAGCACGTTTCGAGACTAGCATTCATTTTTAGATAAGAACTTTCTTTGCAATTTGATAGGCTTAACCGTCAGCCTCTAAATCACCTTAAACGACCAAGGGCGACACAAAAGGCCACACCATCTTGGTCTTCATACCTTCGATTAAAAGTCTTTTAGTTTAAAATAATTGACATCTTCGAAACAGTCACATTGGAAGGTCATCTTCGTTCCGATAAGTTATTCGCTGAGGGCACCATCGATAGGGACATATTAGTCTATGCTAGCCTATTTCATAAACCTGGTAATAATGAAGTAATTCAGACTATAATGTAGCATGTCAATTAAAGATTAAAATTGTGAAACGAAGCAATCACAAGTAAATCCTCATAGCAGTTCCAGGTAAATCTTGAATGCCTTCTGGAAAGACAAAGCTACTGTCCTTTTTAAAAAATATGATAAAAATGAGGAAAACATCGTTGGCTACGCTCAAAAAGAGTGATATAAGGTCATTTTTTTAAATAGCCGCCGAAATACTAGTTGTAATTAAATCCCCCCATATTATCCACAGTCAAAGACGTGATTCTTTTGTTTATAAGTGCAAAACCCTGGCCACTACGTTATTCGGGAATTCATGCGGATGTCCATATCACTTGAACTGTGCTGGAATAGTTCATAATAAGAGCATAATGACGTAGAGGCTGAGTAAATCGTACACTTGGTTCTGCTTGTGGACTTCGAATTAATTAGG